GTGTCCCCTTTCTCGTCCTAAAACTTTGTTTCTCCTTTACTTTCCAGTGTTCCGTGGTTGTCATAGTGTTGTTGTGCTCCTCCAGGACTAAATCTGTCTGATATAGTGTCATTGATGTGCAGATTTACAATTGTGTGCATCGAGTAGGTCTCGGGAGTTTTTTTTTTTTCTTTCAGTTTTTGCTGATAGGAAGCGTTGTTTCTGCCAACATGAGTCTAGTTTTGCCTGTGATTGTACCAGTCCGGCACAGATTGTGTTGTGGTGTAGTTACTTTTAAATTTTAGTTGGCAAATAGAGAAGGGTGACTGGTTGACGAAAGGTTTGTTGTCTGTCTTGTTCTCAACTACAGTGTTGGTCTTTCTGCTTGACTGCGAGGATGGAGGGATTCCTTTGTAGGCTTGGCTCAGCCACTTTGACTGTAGATTTGTACAAGGAGAGTTTCAGAATGTTTTTTTTTCTTCACTATTTACTATGGTAACAAGAGTCCTGACTGCAGAGTTTTCTTTTATCTTCTCTGAAGTTGAGCTTTTAATTTGATATTTTCAGTCTTTTGAATCTATATTTCTCCAGTGTTTGAATATTTCTGCCCAGATAATGATGAACTTGGCATATATATTTCTCCTCTGTTGAATATTTCTTCCATGTAACTGATGGAGTTGACATATTGTCTCTGTATGATTGGATTCATTCTCATCTCAAAGAGGGATTACTTCTCTTTAAAATTTGTTTTGACTGTTACCGCTTCTGTGGCTAAACGATTTTATTGTCAGCAAAAACAGAAAGCCCCTTTTCAGCCATGAATTAAAGTGTGTTGTTAAAAAAAAAGTGTTTTTACATCGGGTTTAGGGTCAATGTTGTTTTGCAGGTGGTTAGCTTGGGCTCTGATGTAGTCTTCTGCTCCTTGTCATTTTTGTTCTCATTTGTTTCTGGTATAGTGTGATGGTTAATGGGATTGCTCATTATAAACTGCAATTTGCTTTAACCAGTTTGTGACTTAAAAAGTACTTTATGGGTTTGAGGTAAATAGGATAATGTTTATATACTGAATTTATGACAGTGCTTGAGGTTAATGAGGAAAAAAACCCAATGAAGCATGGATGTGTGCATACTTTCACTTTGCATAATGAGCAACCTAGTTAATTTGTTTGACCACTTGTTATGAACACCATGGGAGTCATTAAGCATTGCCTTCCAGGCTTGGCTACAACTTTGCTAGTAGGCTGTGACTGTTTTGAAGCTATTAATAGTGATTTTCCAACTGATTAGTGCAGTAGATTAGGCAGTGCTAAATTACCAGTAGTTGGGTAAGAGGGCCTTTTGTGACTCAGTATTATAGAGAAAGACTCTCTATGTTGACTCTTAGCCTGGGGTTAATATCTCCCCCCCCCCCCTCCAGTTTTACTAAAGGCTCTCTGTACACGCCAACGTCATTCCTTTTATCCATAACCCTCGTTAATGTCTTCACCTTATGCTCCTTTGCGGAGGCCACTCAAGTCTCTTTCCATCCAGTCCCTTATTCTTGATTCTTATCTAAATGTTTTTCATTTGCAATTTAAAGTGGATTGGTAGGGTTAATGGCCAAGCTGACATCTTGTTAAACACTAATAGCTGCGTTGTCCTTGGGTACAGATTGATGTCCCGGTGGATTTCCCTTTGGTATCATTCAAAATGCGCTTTTTCAAAAATGGGCTTTTTACACAAAGCATTTTGAAATTGATGTAAGAATGCTCTGCCTGACTGAGGACATAATAGGTTATAAATAGAGTTCCTTGAAAAAAAGATTTCATTTTAGAGATTTAAAAGAAAACCTAATTTTTTTTGGGCAGCATTGCTCTAGATCTAGATCTAGAAAGAAATTAGGGTGTTTTCAAGTGAGTCCCATTTTCTGGTAGATTAAGCTCTTTTCCCTGAAACTGAACATGCATTTCAAGTAATCAATATATTTTGGCTCTTGAATCATAAAACCCAATGTGGCTAGTCTTTCAATAAATAGTGTGTTTAGACACGTTGTATACTCTCACTATTATTTCTGTCTCTGATGAAGATCTACTTTCATCTTTCTTGTTTCCTGTCAGATTCTTTTGACATTGACATGAAAGGCCGGACTTACTTCTATCTGAGTATTGGAATGTCACTCTTTTTTAATGGAACTCTTTTTTAATGGAACTCTTTTTGACGTTGTACCTTTTCCATTGGTGTAATTCATATTTTATTTCCCTTCGCCTTCAACCTTTTGGTGAGGATCATTCTCAGTCTGCTGATATTCAAGAGAGCTGCTTTTTATTTTTATCTTTGTAACTTGTACAAAAAGATTTGAGAGAGAAAGAAAGGGGGGAGGGGAGAAGAAAAAGAGAGAGAGAAAGAGAGATAGAGAGAGGGAGAAAGAGAGATAGAGAGAGAGTCTCAACTCCAGTTCATATCTGACTGCAGAATGTGGTTGTCAATAGTCTGTTTCCTACCTTACTCCCCAGTACAAAACACCTGTTGTGTGTTTGTTCCTTGTGTGATGTGTGTTCATTGCCCTGCCAGGCCAAAGTTAAATGTTCATCCACCGAGCCTCCCCTCTTTGTGACTGTTGTCCTTCTCACAATCGCCACCGTTTTTTTTTTCGCACACACCCAGTCATCCCCCCATTCCAACCCAGTAGAGTTCCTTCTCCCTATACAGTTGCCATTGTTTCTTCACACGGGCCCCCCAGTAGTGTTGTCCCTTCTGAATTTGTTTAGTCTGATGTGCAAGCGTGCATCCACCTGGGCTTGTTTTAGGACCCGTCGCCACCTCTCTTGTTCGGAAGTCTGCTACTAATTATACGAAAAAGACATTGTCACTAATGGAGCTGAATGTTATGTTTCTGAGAATATCTTGCTGCGTAGTATAGGCCAGGCAAATAGGTTTTTTTAAACATTGAAAAGTTGAAGCTTTTAGTATTTTTTGTTAGGTGCAGGAGACTGTCTTTTCTAACAGTGTAGATACTATGTAACTTTTACAATATCTTGTGCTCTATGACAGGCGCACTTATGTTTTTCTACCAATATAGCTGCCATTGTTGTTTACTTGGCTGGGTGTAATTGTGCAGGTTTAAGGTGTTTGGTCCTGCGGAAATGCCTTGTCCGGAACTTTCAATGGGATGGTAAATCAATCAGCTTTATTGACTTACTTGAGCCTGAGCTGTTTTTCATCCAACAACCATTGCTGCCTGACATTTTGGGATAAATTGAATTGTTAACCACAAAAAGACCATGAGAGCTATCATAATTTTTTTAATTCAATAAAAGAAAGAAAGAAATGGTCTCACAGAAAAAAGAAAACTGCAGCCAATTTGTCAGAATAGTTTTTATTCTTTTTGAAACTGCAATGTCTTGGGGTTATGTGATTTATTTTTTTTTGGCGCCCAATTTGTAATGAAAGTCATCTATAACATCGCGGGGGCGACTGGCTTAGTCTGTTACAGCTAAAGATGTATCGTACATAATTTCACCAAATTTTTAACGAAACAAAACGAGTGGGTCAACTGTTGGCTTGCCACTTCCCGTAGCTTGTTACTGAAAGACACTGGAGATATCGATCGATAAAGCGCATCCCGTAATTACACTGGATCCGGCTTCTGGGCCAGCGGACCCTGATGTGGTCAGCTGACATTGATACACTATTGCTGTTACCATGGCAAAAAAGTGACAGATGTCATGTTGGAAACTCTAGTGCTAACAAAAGTGGTTGGTATACTTTTGACTTGAAATGAATAAAAGCAGCAGCATTCTTCCTTTTCAGATTCTTTGTCTAGATTTTGATGCCAGTGTATTCAGTCATGATGCATACTTGGGCGTGTTTTTACCAGGGATGTTCAGTCTTTTATCTTTATTGAAGACCTCTTTGACTGTGACTGAAAAAATTATTGCCTCTACAAACTGTTTTTTCTTTATATTTTTATAACATTTCTAATTTTCAAACTAGGTCTAGTTTGATTCTACAAACATAATTGTGACCTTTTCCTCATATCAGCGAAGAATCTTTTTTGCTGTGTCTGAAGTCTTCTGACTAATGCAATTTACACAAATTATTCAATTTCGTATTTTTCCCTATCAGTTTCAGGATTGTATATATATATATATATATATTTAACGCCTGGGAGTGTTCATTGTCAAATTCATAATTGTTGTTGATTGAGGTACAGCTTTCTTTTTTTCTAATTTGGCCTCTTTTTAGATTGTAGAAGTGCATCAATTCAGTTCAAACGACCATAAGTACAATTTGAATGCAGCTTCACTACTGCGATCCACAAAAGTCTTAGGGAAAGTAGGTTTTTAAGAAAGGTTTTTATCATGGAGACTATTGTTGAACATGTTGTTCATTGTCAAGTTCATAATTGTTGTTGATTGAGGTAAAACTTTCTTTTTTCTAATTTGGCCTCTTTTTAGACTGTAGAAGTGCATCAGTTCAGTTCAAACCAACCCAAAGTACAATTTGAATGCAGCTTCACTACTGCGATCCACAAAAGTTAGGGAAAGTAGGTTTTGATGAAATGTTTTTATCTTGGAGACATTCTGTAATATTTTATGTTTACATAAAGAAAGGACAATTGAAGTCTGTTTCAACGAGAGTTTTCAATGAACACTCCCTTATTTTGGTGAAAAGTTTCAGCTCGACCCAAGCTTAACATTTCTCCCGACGTGGTGTGGCTCTTGACGTGGCGCTGATTTTTTTTCTCTCCTTTTTTGACGAATCTTTGCATTTGGTTTTTTTTTGTTTTTTTTGCTTTTATTTTTTGTGGTACACATGTCCAGAACGCACTCATGAACCCTTAATTGTGCTGCTGTGCTCTAAGATCCAAGACCATGGAGACCTTCTTTAAACACATACTGTGCAAGGTTACAGATCGCACAGCAAGGTCTCAGCAGACCTGCCCCAGCAACAAGACAGCTTTCTGCGATGTCCCAGTGGCCAGATTGAGACTTAATGTATAAGATTTATCTGAGGTAGCTCTGTATATCTTTCCTGACCAGGCTCAAGTGGGCTACATACAACATGATTTCGGGCATTTGTCCGTATTCAAACGATCCAAATGGAATCATGCCCTTCACTATTTTTCTCTCGGATTCATCAAGGTAATGAAAGGTTGGATGCCTGGTGAGGGAGCATGTGAGCCCCGGCAAAACATTTTTGAAGAGAGTGGAGGAGGGTTTCTCTGCTACAATCAGCACCTAAACAATTCCTTATCTTTGTTCGGCTTTGCTCATTTGTGCTTACAGCTAGCTTTATTTCCCTACTTATCCCCATGACCTAGGCTTGTTTCTCTTTCACTGATTATTTGTCAGGTTTTTTTTAGCTTTTCTTGAAACTCAGTAAGTGACAGTCGATGTAAAATTTACCTGTTAATGTTAAAGTAGATCACCAAGGTCTGCACTTTGTTATACTTAAATTTTTAGTAATTTGTCTGATGCGTGAAGGCGCTTAAATGATGTTTCTGTTTGAGGCAGTAAATTTTTTTAATCTTTCAATCCTAGCGGATGTTTCAACAGTTATGATCTCTGAGACTTGATTCAATTTGAGTGTATATTGAGCTAAGCAGAGCAGCAACATGTTATAAACTGTTGACTGGAGAACACCCTCCTCCACCATGGCTCACAATCTCTCTATTTTCTGCTTGAAAATGATGCATGACAGTCACTCTCTTGTAGTATTCCCCCTTCTTATTCCACTTTTCCGGATGATGGCTGCAAACCTGTCCTGCCTGTAGAAAGCATCCACTGCATATTTGATTGTACCTTACAGAAAATCATAGTTGCAGCTAGAATATGTAATCTTGAGCTTTGGTTTTTTTTTTCCAGGCTAATCATTTACAATTTTTTAACCACCTCGCTTGAAGCTCTAACGTTTTGTTTGCTGCATTTTATTTCTTGTTGAATTAAACTTCTACCTTTTTGTATCATTGTTATTTAATTCTGAGTGATATTTTGTTTTAAATTTACTTAATTTTCTCCAAGAGATCACCTAATTGACACTGTTTTGTGAATGAAATTGTTAACAAGACGCAGATGAATTAATGATGAAAGAAGAACATTATGTGAACTTTACGTATGATGTATATGGTAGCTCCAGCAATATTGGTTTGCAAACTTGCGGATGCTTTCAGTCAGACAGATGGAGGTAGATAGCCAGCATAAATTACGAATTGCTTTGGTTCTCTAACTACCTCCAAATTCTTCTTTCTTATGTTGGGTTGAATGGCTTGCTTCATTTTTAAAAATTATTTTAGTCGCTCATGTACTTTTTACTGAGTTGTATTGTTCAAATTTATAACTGCATCTCTAGCTAGGCCTGGGAGAGGATGGATTGAGTTTTCATTTGCATTGGTGGGTCCTAATGATCACATCTGGTATAGTAACTTGAGTTTCACCTAATATACTTTATAGCTCAAAGTTCTTTATTTAGTGTGGATGTACCGTTATGCCTTTCTACGGTCAGGTCATGAAAACCTTGAGAAATAAAACTTTCACTAATTACCGGAGGGGGGTGGGGGGGTCATGCAAAGTAAAAAGTAGGGATTATGTCAAAACAGCGTGGGTCCTAAAATTGGTTTTGTTGAAGACGTTATTGGTATGACGCCTTGTATGTGTCCTTCCTAAGTGTGTGAATATTGTGAATTGTGACAAAAATGGTAGTTGATTCAAAGGAATGTAAATTGTGATGAACAGAAAAAGTTTTTGTTGCTAGAAAAATGAGTATCTCAGTTTGACTCTTCTTGCAGCAACAAAGAGGTCCCTCTTGGTATCACTCTTTACCAGCTCGAATGTAATTTTATAAATGTTGTATCCTATTCAGTTGATATTACCAGTGCAAGTGGGTATTAATATGGGTGGAGTAGGGGGTATGGATGTTCCAGGATGTAAAAAGATGGCAGAGGTATCGTGACATGAGAGTTATCGTCAGCTTCAACACTCGCACTCCACTTTAAGTTAAGGGTAACTGCACTCTTCCCTTTGATCAGTTGAACTTTCTTTTTCAGTTACTAGTTGGGTTTTGGGAAGAGGTCTTGATACAGAGACCTCTTCTTGAGTTGTTGATTAATGTTAACTCTGTACAGGGTCAGACTGATATATTATGAATTTCACTGGGATATGTTTCTTGTTATGCCGGAACTGGTGACCACTGAGTGAAGGCAGCACCGATTGTACCCTGAGAGCCAGTTTTTGTTGTATGGTGTGGGTGTAATGCATGCTCATGTTACATGGAATTTGTTCTAAAGAAACTTTCCATTTCTTTGTGTGTATCCGGGGAATTGGATATAGTCTCTGGCCCCTTTGCAGAGTCATAAAGGGGGGAGGTGGTGGCATGTCCTTTTTGTTTCTTTCAGTAAGACCTGGTTTTGTCCTGAATGTGTCCTAGATGTGTCCTAGTTGTATTTTAAATGTACATGTTGAGCCCTGATGATGTTCCCTGACATTTGTATGACTTGATGCTGAGTGAGACATGATTGAATTGTGTAGTTTCTCTCACCCAGTGGAAAATGTGCCTGCTTCTTTTTTTTCTTGTTTGTCGATATTGGACAGATTGTTGTTGATTTAGTGTGAGTTTCGGTGGATTCTGCTGAATTGTGTGTACGGAGTGGCTGGTGGTTCCTTACATGTGGTTGGTTTCTCCCTTTGCCCATGGTACCATTGTCATACCGTCCCTCCTAGCATGTTTTAAAACCAAGTTATCTCCAAAGTATTGTAAAATTTGTGCACAGCATGAAAGTTTCCCTTGATTCTGTCTTTGATTTTGTTGGTTTTCCCCAAGTCGAATGTTCAGAATGCATTTCATGTTGTATTACGTAGGGTTATTCATTTTGTGTGCTTATTTAGTTTCTGTATTCTAAAAAGAATTACCTAATATATCATCTGTACTAACAATACTTTGCTTCACCTCTACTAGCTTAATTTCTTTCACCTATACTTCGCTTGCAAAGATTCTCCTTGGAATTTACCCATTAACTGAACCCATGCATGTATGCTTTTTCAAATCGCAGTAATGCAAAAAGTCGTAGAGTAAAAAGCAGTAATTCAAACAAATTGCATTTTTCTCCCTCTTTTACTGTACTTCAGCTGGCTATTCAACTGCTTTTCTACAATTTATCCTGCTTTGAAATAGATGTAGATGATAGTGGAACCAGTATCTCAGGAGTGCTCGTACCATATGTTTAGCTTTCTCAAAAGAGGGACCCACTTCAAATTGTTAATGACGTTATCATTTGTGAAGAGTCATGATTCTGCGTGAAGTGAAGAATAGCCTTTGACTCTCCTATGAAGTTACTGAGTGAATCACGTTTGACTAGAGTGACAGTAATTTTGTTCTCAGGGGTAAGAGGAGTGATGGTGGCGACTTTTTTGGCCTGTAGTTATGTAGTTTTCTGTTTTACTTCCGTAAGATTTAATACATTTTAGTTGGTGGTACCTTAGGTGTTGGCACTTGCCTCACCTACACTAAGGTGAAATATTTCCCAAACAGTGTTTAGTGAGTACATTTTCAAATTTTCATTTACTGTCCGGTGGGAAAGGAAGCTCCACTTCCACTCTTGGAGTTATTGCATGCTGCCTATGTTCGTTTGAAACCGAATTGGTATGGTTTCAACTACCAGGGACAACACCCCCTCCTGCAATTTGTTTCATTTTTCTCTTCTTCTGCACATTTTAGAAATTCAACTTGATAATTTTTGTCAACACCTTTTGTTCAGTATTGAGATTCACTAAAAGTCAATTCTGGTAGGTGCCTCACCCCTAGTTTTCCCATGAAAACAGTGGTTTTGTACTAATTTTTCAAGAACATTCTCAAAACCAAACAAAATTTCGTGTCAGAAAAGGTCAGAGTGATTCATATGTACAAATACACCCAGCCACTTTCAGATGTCAATATTTTAATAAGTTATATCGTTTTCAGTCGGATGTCATTAAGCAAGGTCAACTTTCATTTGCATCCCACTCTCAAATACTATTGACATCAGAGGTCCATGTCTTGTAGTGAGCCTCTGGGTGTTTTTCTGCTCTGCTGCCCAAGATTCTTTCTTTCTACAATTGCTGACACTACACCCTTTTTCTTTACCACCTCTATTTTCTTTACCTGGCTCTGTTCATCTACCTCTTTCTTATGGTCTCATCAGTCTATGAGGTAACGTGAGGTCTATCTATAGCTCTGTATATCCACCCTCTTCAGTGCTCATCGTCCATCTTAAAGATAAGAAAGATATAAACATCGATCTCAGGGATTTTTTTGTTGTGGTTATCTCAATATTGTCTGTGTGAGTCACTTACTATTTAAGTCTCATCCTTCATTCCACTTCAAGTTGTTGATTTCAACCATACATTGTATCTTTGATAATCTTTCTCTCTACTTAAATGTCAATCCCACATCTTGATCTTGTGTGTTCATTATCTATAAATATTGGTTACTATAAGCTCCTTTCTATTTAAAAACCCATTTTCTCTTCTTTTATTTTGGGGGTAGTCATGGATGGTATTTTGTCCGTCATATGATATGCCAGTGTCTACCAGTATTTCTCTGTAGTATCAAAATGAAACACGAGGCAGGACTTACCTGGAAGTGCTAGACAAGAGTTTGTCAATGAGTTGTGACCATTTTAAAGCCATTTTTAGTAAAAGAAATAGGTACAGGCCACTGACTTCCATGTTCGTATGCATTTTTGTATACATTCAGGGTTGCTTTTACAGTAAAGGGAAAGGCAGTGGTATGAACTGTTTGCACTTTCTGTCCCTGATATTCTCCCAGTCTGAGCTAGTACCTTGCTACATGACCCCTATGTCTATAATGCCTACTTTAATATGTGTAACTTTTGTACACTTACAGCACATATTCATGAAATAAGCCTGTGCCTCGTTTTATTTATTGGGGAGACAAGTGACTGTATACATCGAAAGGTCATCCTTTATCTATCCCTATTGTTGTGGTCCTTACTATACTGCTACTTGTTCCCCCCTGCACACTATTACATGACTCACATTGACACTATATTCATTGTCATCATTTAGGACCTCATCATCATCATTGTCATCCTTAATTTAATTGGATATTATTTAAATTGTGTTCAAAAGTACTACACATAGTTTGATTTACATCATAATTTTTGAAAAGATAAATCTTTTATGCCTGTATGAAATGCTTGTCAACTCTATAGATTTATTTTTTGGCTGGATTTTTTAAGTCATTTGACTCTTTTTTTTTCATTTTTAAAACCAAATTGTCTTTAATCAATGCAATAAGTTCTGAAATGGAAATAATTTGCTATCATTTTATCTGAGAATGTTAAGCAAAATGTTGCAAACTTTTTAAAATTATATGACAGAGTCAGCTGTGAAAAATGTATGGTTTGCACTTCTTTCTTGTGGCCTGTGTATGATGGCTGTCCTTTTGTTTCCTTCCAGGGTGCCTCTCCAGCTTGGTGGAACCACATGCACTACCAGCATCACGCCAAGCCAAATGTGGTCAGTAGTTGTAATGAGCTGGACACTCCAGCTCTGTGAACTTGACTTAGTGGGTGGTTAGCGGATGTTCTGGTTTGGTTTGCTTCATCTTTCCTATCAAACATCTATTGTCCTAACTTGTCTCTTCCTTCTTTTGTGTGTTTGTTACTCTCTTTTAACACCTTTAATCTTCAGCGCTTCTCTGACCTTGTTGTGTTGCAAGTGCTGTAAAACTCTTTACCAAAACTTAAAAACACCAGCTCTGCCGTACCTGTTGCCATGGGTGTTTATTGTTTTGTTATTTTGGAGTGTCTGTGTTTTAGAAGTTACATGTTTTACAATTTTCTTTCCCTTTTTTACTTCTTTTCTCTCTCTACTTTCATTGTTACCTATCAATATTTTGCTTTTTCTTTGCACTAAATGACTGTCATTGCTCCAATGTACTTTTCTTATAGCCGTCAGTGTTTCTGTTGTTCAAATCTGTTCCTTAACTTTTTATCAGTCTGATTTTCCCGAACAGCCAGAATGAAATCTGTGCTGCCATTCAGAATTTGCGTATATTTTTGTATCACAATTACAGATTTAAACCTATCTCGTTTGTCATTCAAAAAAGTTAATGAATGGCAACATTAAGGAAGCATGGAAAAAGCAGGGGTATTGTAGAGGAATTTCAGTAACAGTTCTTAGTGGGAAAACGACCTGGACTCTTGATCTGAAATTGTCGGTGATTCAATGTGTTACAATTTGAGAAATACGGTGTGCCTTCTAGTTGCGAATTCTCCCAAGGAAAAAAGTATCGTGTCTATTTTTAAGTTGACCAGTATTATAAACGTGCATGTGGAGGACTGAATGGAAATGTGTATATTAAATTAAGGGAGATGAAAAGGACGCACCGTGTGTCGTTCTGGCGGATGGGCGTAAAGGAAGCGATGTGGAGTGTCGTTCTGCCTGATATGAATTAATAAAGTGTTATCATGCTGATTTGCCATTACATAAAATTCACACATAGATTATAAAACACCCTGGCTTTATTCCATTTCCTTCTATTTATAACACATATGGTTGATGTCTATTGCGTACTGTAACTACCAAAATGAGTGAATTTGTTGAAATAGAATTAAATGTGTAAATGTCAGAGTCTGGTAAATTCATGAGTTTGTTATAAGTTATATACAGTTGAACCTACTGTTACAACCACCTGCCAAGACAATCATCGTCGGCACTAACAACCACCTCCCACACCACCATGTGTGTAATTTTATGTTATAATGACAGTATCCAAGTGAGTGGTTGGCGGGTGCTCTGGTGTAGGCTGTTTCTTCTTTCCTATCAAACATCTATCGTCTTTTTCTCTCCTCCTTCTTTTTTGTTTTTGTTACTCTCTTGTAACACCTCTAATCTTCGGCACTTATGTGACCTTATTGTGTTGCAAGTGCCGTAAAACTCTTACTAAAACTAAACTAAAACAGTATCCAAGACGACCAGTCTCTTAGATGCCCACTGCTCTTTGACAATGGGTGGTCGTCTTGACAGGTTTGGCTGTATTATACTGCTTGTCACTTGTCTTTGAATTAACCTCATGCACTTTGTTTGTGGGTGGTTTGCGGGTGCTCTGATGTGGTTTGCTCCTTCTTTCCTTTCAGACATCTATCATCCTTATCTTTCCTCCCCCTTTGTTTTTGTGTTTGTTACTCTCTTGTAACACCTCTTATCTTCCAAACCGCGGGTGGTGGGAGGTACCATTTGTACATCCCCCACTTCTTTACTTTTCCCCTGTCTGTTTATTTATCTTACTTTTTCCCAACGGTAAATGACCATTATATTGTCTTGATAACTTCCCTTTACTCAAACAAACAAACAATCAAATGACCTAACTGTGTTGCATGTGCGGTAAAACTCTTAACTAAAACTAAACGCTTTGTTTTGTGACACACTTTCTGAGTGGGTGGTTGGCAAGTGCTGTGGTGTAGTTTGCTCCTTCTTTCCTATCAAACATCTATCGTCCTCATCTCTCCTCCTTTTTTTTTGTTGTGTTTGTTACTTTCTTGTAACACCTTTAATTTTCAGCCTTATTGTGTTGCAAGTGCTGTAAAACTCTTACTTAAAAAAAACCACAAAACTTTTTCAGATGGACAAGGACCCTGATGTGCGTCTTGATGCTCTGTTTGTGGTGGGTGAGCATATGCCCGTGGAGGTTGCCAAGAACAGGAAGAAGAGCATGCCCTACAACTGGCAGAACTACTATTTCTTCTTGTGTGAGTATAAGTATGATTTTGCATTAGACTGAAAAAGTATCAACGTTTTTCAATAGCAATGGCAAGTTGACTGTTTTTAGGACAGTATCTCTGATGATTTAATATGTACTGAATATGATTCCTTCCTACTGACAGAGTAAACTGATTGTAGGAGGCAGGGTCGTATAAGAATTGTTTAATAAAGAATCCATTTTGTTTATTTCAGTTGTTAATTTATACTAAAGGTTTTCTAAATTTTTTGGTGAGCAGTATTCTTTGAGAGGCACGAAGTACTGCTGCTAGTTCAAATGGCTTTCTGTGGCTGGTCTGTCACTGTAATGTGAAACATGATGATCAGCATTCTTTCACCCTGTTATTGGGTATAGGCCACCAAGAAGAGCCGGAGATCTGCTTCTAGTGTGTGTGTGTGTGTGTCCAATCCATCGCCATTTTCTTTTTTTTGATCTCATGGTCAATTGTTCGTAGTTTGCTTCGCCTCCTTAAAATACTACATTTCCTTCTTTCCTGTCAAACATCTATCTGCCCTACTTTTTTTTGGTGTTTATTGCTCTCTTGTAACACCCCTAATCTTCGGCACTTATATAACCTTATTGTGTTGCAAATACTGTATGGCAGTGTTACTGACTGAAGTGTCTTTAGGCCATTCCCAAAGGGGGGGGGACATTAACATCTCGAGTTCTTATGCACAGTAGAATTGTAATTGTAAATGAGCTGATTCATCAATGTCATGCTCATAACTGTGCCTGACCTGCAACAGGGAACTGCTGCTTTTTCTTTCCTAATCCTTGTTATTGTCATTTTCCCTCTATTTCTTTTGTGTGTTTGTCACACTCTTGTGACCCGCTATTTCCGGGATGCCTTGGTAGTTGAAGCTGACTTTGTGCTGTTGAAGCTAGAGAGGTGAGCAGAGTAAGTCTGATTCCCTGTAAGGACTTTTCTAACTTATGTTAAAAATAAAAAATAAAAATAATACATTCGAAGCATGATAAGGCAATGATTTTTACTTTGTATTTTCGTTTCAGTGGGACCACCTCTGCTGTTCCCGGTGTATTTCCAGATTATGCTGTTTAAGTTCATTTACAGCAGGAAGGCATATTTGGTAAGAAGGCTGTTAAATTTGTTTATAAACTGAAACTAATCATCATTTATTTTTGTATGACATTTATGTTCCCTATGCCTGCTGCTCAGGATAAAAATGACTCGTAAACTGTATTTTGTTATTCAAAAATAAACATTTGATCCTTTTTTATATTTTTTTCCCACCAGGATCTACTGATGGTTATCATCTTCTTTATCAAGTTTTTCTACCTGTTTGTTCCTCTCTTGGGCGTCGGTGGTTCCCTCATCTACTACTTCAGCTTCAGGTCTGTATATACTCTGTGTGATTTTTAGACCTGTGCAATAATAGTTTGGGACTTTTGATGTACACGGAGGTGTCCTGTGCTCCTCGTATTACTTTTCAGTTCTATTTTCCTACTGCGCCCCACAAAGACTGGTGGTTATCATGTTGACTTATTGTAAACTACAACTCAACAACCCTAGCTCAGCAATCATTTTAAAAATTACGGTATGCAGTTTTTAGTTTTACATGAGTGCCCATAGACTGAATGTTGTTACCAAGGAAACAACATTTGCTTTAAAGGAAGGTATTATCAAAATTGTATTCCTAAAAATATTGATTTGAGATGTTTGCAAAGGGTTTGTTTTCTGGGAAACATTAAGTTTTTTGACTCTCCCGTAAACTTTAAAAAACTGCATGTGCTGTACTCTTAAAAATGACCGCAGAGCTATAGAAAAAAGTCCAGTCGAATCTGTTGTAGTGACCACTTGTCCAAGACAATTACTGTGCGAATGACCACTTCCCACTGCCCCCCTTGTGTTTCTGTTATATTATAATGACATTGTCTATATTCATATACTTTTTAAAACTGGGAGTCAACCTCAATAGGGCTGGAGTTGGCAGACTGTTAGATGTTTTTTGGTTTTAGCGTTTTCAAAACTTTTTTGTACATTTGTTTAAGTAAAGAATAACTGTGGAGTCTGCTTAAACTGAACACAGTTAAGTCTAAAACAGCGGCTAACCGAAATAAAATTTCACTTACTCTCTTCTTTCTTTTTTTTCACCAAAACCAAAAACCTGGCTAAATCGAAGAAAGTCTGGTGGCCCCGCAGATTTCAGTTTTAAGTGGACTCCACTCTATATCATTAAAAATATGTTTTATCAAAGAATAAAAAGAGGAGCCGGATAAACCTTCCCTGCCCAGTGTGTGTAACACTCTGTTTCTTCCTTCCTGCCCCTTGTGTACACAGATGTCTGGAGAGCCATTGGTTCACCTGGGTGGCCCAGTCCAACCACATTCCCATGGAGATCAACCACGACGAGGGCCTGCCCTGGCTCCAGCTGCAACTGCAGGCCACCTGCAACGTGAGCAAGAGCGTCTTCAACGACTGGTTCACCGGCCACCTCAACTTCCAGATTGAGCATCAGTGAGTCACCTCAGGCTACATGCTCCTCTTGTTTTGTTGGCTTTTTTTTTTCTTGAAGTCCTTTGCTCGTATTTATAAAGTTTGACGATTGGAAGATGTCACAGGTAGATCTGACTTTGTTTTGTTACCTCTCCTTTTCTGTCTTCTTTGCCTGCTTTCAGTGATTGTGTCGATGTGCATCTCTTTGCTCTGAGCTTTCATGTATATAAAAAGTATGTCATCTGATTAGTGTACCTTACAATAAATCAGTTTCAAGTTATTGGTCTCCAGCCCAAGTCTGTGAAGAGGATGTCATCTGATTAATGTAATTGTGTTTTAGATGATAACTTGCCTTTTTTTGTAAGTCAGTGGGCTGAGATATTTCTCACTAGATCTGTTTCTGGACATAAGTTGTTTTGGGGAAGTTATTAGCGAGTTTCACCCCTTCCTGTGCCTGTGGGAGAAAGCTTCCGAGTGTCCTGGTTTTCATAGGACACTCCCTCACTCCGCCGCAATGTTCCTTTGTAGTCATTGTTGTTCTTGAATATATATGAGAGGCAGCGTGGTGGAATCAGGCTCTCGTCAATTTTGAGGCATGTAGAGTTATTGGTATCATCTTCAAGCTTGTTCACTTATTTTTACTTGGATGAAAAAAAATCCATTTATCTTGAATACAAGTCGAGATATTGGCGAATGAATGTGGTGGGGGTCACCTGTTTTCAGAGGTAAAATTAGTGAGAAAATGGCCGCCAAAGATTAGTTATTTCCTTAGCTAAGAGTCCGTGGTAACTGAAAATTTACATTTTTTGTGCCTTTAATCAACGTTTTTCAGAAAAACCCACGCAGAAATGAGTTCTTTAATGGGTGGAGAGCCAAAAAACAAAAATTTGATAAAAATGCAAAAACCTGCAGAAAAAAAACAAGTTTCTTCACTTTGATTATTTTGACGAGAGCCTGATTCAACCACGCTGCCTCACATATATGTCTCTGCTTGTTTTGTTAAGAATATTGATTGTATTAAGAAAGGAACATTAGTTTCCTGGAACCTGTTTAGGCCCACTTCAACAGTGAATTTTAGAGTTTTCTATGAGATGGTTTGCCATAATTTTATGAAGAGGGACTGAGAACACATTTTGACTATTCCAGTCAAGGACTTATCTCTAATTAGAGCTATAATTTAGTTGTTTATATTAAAGTTTATTTGATTATTTCAATCTTTAAATTGGGTATTGTTTAATCAGTATGTTCTATAGCATTAGCCTCCTTATTTAATGATATCCCTCCCCCCTTTAAAAAAAAAAACTTTTATGAAGATGTAATAATCAATCTCCTTGTTCATGCTCTTGCCATCTACAGTCTGTTCCCCACCATGCCCCGACACAACCTGTACAAGATTGCTCCTCTGGTGAAGTCTCTGTGTGAGAAACACAATGTCTCCTACGTGGTGAAGCCGCTGAGCACAGCCTTTGCCGATATTGTCAGGTGGGTGCGCGGGGAATCTGGCACAGTGCCGCTTTCTTTGTTGTAGACTTTGCTTTCAATGGTGTTCTGATAAAAACATGTTGCACAATTTTACAGTTTAAAACTTGTGATCAAGCAGTTGAAAAGGTGGCACTGAGGTTGTCCTTTCTGTGTTAATTTAAGGGTGCCCTAAGGCTTGTCAATCCTGATTTGGAGAAGTTTTAGATGGTTTCATTGGGCTGATTGTGTGCTCTTTGGAATGTTGACTCTCATCCTCCGTCTGGGTTGGCTTCCCTGCAGGTTTTGGTTTTTATGTTCTATTAAAGATTTTTCGGGAATGTGGAACTGAGGTTGTACTATTGTGTGTTTTATGTTATTTTACTTGAAGATAATTTGTGCTAAATAAAATTAAGTATGTTAAAAAAAGGAAAATAAATTTTGTCATAATTAAAAGCTCTGCTGTGGGGTTAACAATGACTCTTATGTCTGTCAGGTTCCTACCTCTATACTGCCCCCTTTTCTCTTGTGTGTATTTGTGTGTAGGTGTTCGTGGGGGATAATGTGGTGGAAGGGGGGGAGGGGGATAATGATTGAAAGTCTGCGACAGCTTCTGCTTTTTGTTAATTGCAACTCTCCTGACTTGCTTCGGATTAAATGGGCCTGTTTTTGTGCACACCCATGATCAATTAAGAATCGACAACAGCAATCACGTGTCTCAAGCTCTGCCATAAACTTGTTTTTGCGTATTGATCTGATCTGTGTCTGATGCCGTTTCCCTTTGGTCCAGGTCTCTCAAGCACTCTGGGGAGCTGTGGTACTCCACCTACCAGGCCTTCCATGCCTCCTCCTCCTGAATACATACCGGGAGACTGCAGACCAGCATGTAGCTTTTTTTTTTTTACCGAATTTATATTTTCTAAACTGACCATCAATTAAAATTTGCAAATGGTTTATTGTACTTAGCTCATTATGACAAGCTGAGCTCCGACCATGACTTGTTGTTTAGTGTTAGTGCTGTGCCATCTAATTTTCTTGGGACAGGTGCTAGTAATAGCACATGCGTTTGCTTAAATGTTTAGGTTTTTTTTATACGTCTAGGTTTGGCTGAAATGAGTAAAATGGCACATGTACTGAAGTTGATCCATCTCAACTGTTTGCCAAGTTGTGACAACTTCATCCAGTTGTTCTTGGTTCAGAGCCCCGACTCTTGAAGATCGCTTTGTCAATGTCTTACTTTGGGGACGCTAGTTCTGTGGAGTCAACAGTTCCAGAAATTATATTTTTCATCTAACATTCTGAAAAAGAATGAATGTTGCAGCTGTACTCACGAGCAGAACTATTGACTGAACTGTTGTCAGCTCAACAAAGGAAATCTGTGGTTGAATATTTAGAACTGATTCAGTATATCTTGTCAACAACAAAAAATCGTGTTGTAAAGGAAAATGCGTTTGGTTTTACAGGTGCAGTGGAAAATTCGAGTAATGTTATGATATCTTGTCGATAATAGAAACTGTCCAAATATCTCAAATTTTGTCATTGTTGATAGTTCTGTGTGCTTTTCAAACGTGAAGTGTGTTTTATATTGGTTATTGTTAATAAAAATTTCAAATTGTAGAAGTTCAATGATCTCTAGTTGACTCTTTAAGTTTGTTGGAGTGATTTGAAGCCAGGTGTTTTCTAAAGTATGAATGCTTTTCTTTTCAGTTTATTACTTTTGGGTTGCTGTAAAAGTGAACAGCATTAATACAGAAGTTTTTTTACTCTCCTGTAACATTTGTTGCCCAGGCTGTCACTAAATCTATGTTTTTTGCCTTCTGTTTGGAGACAAATTTACAAATGGAAGAAAAATGAGTACTCTGTTTTCACCAGAGTTTTAAATTTTGATATTCTTGTACAAAAATGATGTTGACGTTAGTAGATCTAGTACTCTGTTTGCGCTCTGTAGAATTTTTGTCACTCTTGAACATACTGAGTGGTGGATGTTTTTCTCTCACCAGCCGCTGGAAAGTAATAGTAATAGAATCACAGGGTAAGAGGAGGAGGTCTGACTTCTGTTTCTGATGGACAGACTTTAGGCAGTGGGTCTCCTTCCTGATTGTAAAGTACGTTTGCATTCCTGATGATCTTGCTCAGAATCAACACCTTTAAAAATAATCACAGTCTTTGGGTGTGTATCTGACAAGAATTTACATTTTTTCTGGAGTGTAGTTGAAGATCTCTGCTTCTTGTTTCAATTCATGCGGGTACAACACCATCAGAGCAAAAGAGTAGTCATGTTGGTTTTTTTAAAATAAAGTGTTGAGTATGCTTTCTTGAGAATGGTAAACTGACCCAGTGATGGGAATGGGCCAGTATTCTATTTACTTGTGCGAATAAACATCTTCTCCCAAGGACGTGTCCTCCTGTTAGGATTGTGCTTTTGTTCCCATGTTCCAGTTGTTGATCATTGTTGATGTAAATATTGTTTTCCTTCCCTCCTCATATTTGTGTGGTCAAGAGGGTTGTGCTGACACCCTTCAGATTTTCACAGAATCTTAGTTTTGCTTACTTGTTGCCAAGAAAACTGTTGCTTGTTGTCTTGTTGGTTTTTTCCCTTTTGTAAAATTGATTTGACTAAAATTGGATTGGCGTTGGGTATTTCTTCTTTGATATTTGCTGTGTTTTGTTCTTTGTTGTGTGCAGTTAGTCCCTGTTAAACTTGGTCATGCTGTTCTCATTTGCTTCCGTACACAAACCCAAGATAATTGTTACTCTTTTAAGGAGGCAGAAAAATCAATCTCAACTCCATTTGAGAGTAGAACGCCTTTGACCCCATTCAGACTTTTAAGTGATAGAATATTGAAATATTGAGTTGTTTTTTGGGGGGGTATTGAATAACTCTTGTATGAGTTACTGCGTGACATTTTAAGAAAGCTGCACTATTCATCTTTGAAAATAAAATTGTTTGTCAAATACTTTTGATGCCGTTGATATTGTCTTGGAGGTTGTAGAATGAACACAGTTTTGCTGTGAATTTGAAGATGGAGCTGGCTTTTAGTTTTCCAGCGCTATACTTTTTTCCCAATAAATAAACTGTTACTCGTTATGTTTTTCTCTTATTCCAGTGCTGTGGACTCTGAAAATGGTTATGTGTATTGGAGAGGGGAAGGGGAGGTTTGTTTTGCTTTTTACTCCCATCTTGTCCATCTATGTACTGGTATGTTAAAAAAGTCTCTGAGTTGAAGGGAGAAATAGTGTATTCAAGTTTCTTGACTCGTCACTGCCGTACAAACTTCGGGCTCAAAGATGGACTAGTAATAGAAAAAACAGTTTTGATCATGATAGGCTCTGAGAATATTTGTGCTTTGAGCTACATTCTGGGCTACTCCTTAAAATTACAACTCTCAGTCCTCTGTCTTCATATTTGCCAACCTATGCATTCATTATTCATTTTTGTTGGGGAAAAAAGCACTTTACCAAGTGATTAAGAGACACTGAGCCCGACTTGGCATATCTGGATCCATTGCGGACAGTCTTAATCATCTTGTTGTTTTGCAGGAAGAATTCAACTATACATTCCATTTTAGATCAGATGCTTTGCTTTGAAACTAGCCCTGACCATACTGCAGAAAAGACTACTGAAATATTCCACAGCACAAAATCATGGTCCGTTTGAGCATTTCCCAGCAAAGGCACAAAATCAGAAGTCCTGTTGTGTTATAAGAAAAAGCACAATAACAAGGTGAAATTCCAAAATAAGAAATGTTAAATGTCTAAATATCGCCATTATAGTGCGTCTACTTATATTCGCATCGCTTTGTATGCTTGGAGGTGGGGTTGTGTAAATCCTATCCTACTTACTTGTTGACACCCATTTTTTTCTGCCGTAGTCATATATTTACCAATTACAATATTATGTTGAGGACATGTGTAGTCCTCCCTACATATGACTTCCCTCTGATCGTTTTTACAGTTTTGTCTGGGGGAAGGTTACTCACTGAATTTTTTAAACAGTTCCCAACCCCCCCCATCTCCTGTGACCATGCTAAACTTAACCAGTGTTTTTTTTAAGGAGCACCATTGTTCATTGTCTTTATTTACTCGTCAGTCGACCGGTCAGAAAACTATTTATTTTACACACTTAAACAGAATGGAAGAGTATCTGCTTTTGTCTGTTGGTTCTTTTGACCTCCCTGGAAAATATTTCCTCTCAGCCTGATGTCCTACGGTGGGACAGAATTTTGCCGAAAATCACCTTTTTTGTTATCAATAAAGTGGTTCTTATGGGGGGGGGGGGGGGGGGGGGGGGTGTTAGATCTATGCCCATTATGAACATTAGAATGACTATAGATTGAATAAATGGTGCTCAGTTTGTGTGTTTACTTTTCTCAATGAACTGAGGTCCCTTTTCTGTTCAGAGAGTTTTGGGACATTCTCTTTGAGACTTGGTTAAATCTCCAAACTGGGACATTTTTCTCTGTTGAGAGTGTTTTAAATATAAACTACATGAATTGTGACTGAAATCCGCCAACTTTGGTCTGCTTTTTAAAGCACAGTACAATGTATTTGTTGTTTGTTGTCTTTCAGACTGTCTTTAGTAAATTTGCCCAATCTTTGTGTTTGGGGTTGAAAGGGTTAGAAGAACATTAGGAATGGCCTCTATAACATGTCAAGTAGAATCAACAGGTATAAACATTTTACTGTTGCAGTTTAATTGAAGAAAACATGCTGCAATATTACTGTAATCATAGGTCATTTGTCATTGTGCCCATTATCATCGCAAGACCATTGCAGCATATCAGTAATCACATAGAGGGTAAATTGTATTTGTCTCTCCAACAAGACCTTTCTTGAAATGACTAATGGTTTGGATCTTATTGTAGTGGGCAAAATAATAACCAGTGCCTAATTTTCCTTCCAGACAAAATATTGTTGTACTGGTTTATTCCTTGTGAATTAAACCCATGGGACTGCCTAGTGCACAATTGTTTTAGTTATTAACATTTAAAGTCCCTATCAAGCTAACCATGCAGTGATCATCTATACAAAGTTTCACTGCTCAAGTGTTGGGGACCATGTTTTTTACCTTTGAAATGGCCCTTTACATTGTGTGCTCACTTCCCTCAGAGTGAAGGAGGCTCCTGGGTTTTGTAAAGGGTTGAATATATATATCGGTGAAACGTTTATAATTGGGCTTTGCTTTGATTAGCATTCTGTTTGTTTGGGTCAGTTTGAATAATGAGAAGACACTAACTGCCACTTGCGAAAAAGCAAAATAGACCAACAGAACCGAGATGGAAAGAAAAGTAAGACCTACCCCTACTGGTGGTGGGTTCTGAACTAACTACCCACTGATCTGTGTTTGCAAGTGGTCTGTCTAAAAGAAAAGGTTACAAGTCTAAGGCAGTCCTTGCTGTTCTTGGAACATCTTGAGGCTGTGAGCTAACAGATTGCCTTGTGCTGATATATAAATGTAACTACAGGGGAGTCTGCTTAAACCGAACCCGCTACATCGGAAAGTGGGAAAACTGAAAGAAAACAAAATCCCTGATCTGTCTCTTCTTCTATTCAAGCAATTTTTCTAAATCGAAAACCCGAATAAACTTAAGAAAATATGGCGGTTCCGTAAATTTTGGTTAAAGTAGACTCCACTATTTGTTGGTTTGATTGAACTGCTGAAGTTCTCCAAATTTTTTTCTACTCAACCCGGTGTCCTGATGGTGGACCAAGTCCCCTGCCTTTGAAAAAAATCTTTTATAGCTTTGTTCCTACTTAAGGGCATTAATCTTCAACAAATAAAGCAAAAACTTTTGTAGATACAGGGCTAAATGTGTTGAGATTCATGTCGGAAAAGGAATGTTTTTTCAGCTATGTTGCTGGTTTATTTTGTTCAGTCAAATTTTCATGTGTTTGTTTTGGATGTGCTGTTTATAACTTGTTGCATCTTGTGTTCTTCTGACAAGAATTTGCCTGGCTTATATCAAGGGAGACAGAAACATACTTGAATGACAAGCAACACACCAAATGGAAATACTGCAGCACATCGCAAACGCATATATTTACCTTCTTATTTCACTTTTGTTTTGCAGTTATAAAAAAAATCTTGGCAGTATGATTTGAATCTTTGCATCATATTATAATTTGCTTTAGATACTTTTAGTTAGCAGCCTTGTGATTCATATATCTGTTCCTTGCTACTTTTGTTACTTGAAGTGGACTTTTTGTAATTATCTTCTCGGAAAACCTGTATTTATATAATTCTTTTCTTAGGGTATTTATAAAACTATGTTTTTATAGGACTATTTTGTGACAATGTATTGTTTTCTTTAAGACTTTGTGAGAGATTTAATGTCTGCCTTTCAGTATTGGGGAGAGGACACAGAGCAATAGATCAGTTTGGAAAGGTTTGATTTCCTTTCCGCTTTCTTTTAAAGCTTTTCTGTAAAGATAAGATGTGCTGCCTGGAAGATTTTCACAGCAATGGGGTCCAGTCTTTTTTATATTTTTTTTTTGGCTATTGTCTTTGTTGTTGTTACTGTTGTTGTTGAACTTCTTGAGCTGACATAATGTACTATGACATTGTTGTGAACTGTCCTGCTTGCCTGTACAGAGATGTACTACACACCGTGTGTCTAAATACTGTCCTGCTGTGAAGCGTTTTTGCTGTTTGCCTCAAGTTCCTGTGGCTTATGTTGTTGCTCCAGTGATCGCTTTTCTGTGGGACCCCCAACTGATATTTTCTCCCTCAGTTAATGTGAACAACAGTGTTTTTGGACTGTACACTAATGCATGATGTGACAATATTTGTCAAGTTAACAGTTTGCCGCTCAGACATACTACGGTCGCTTCTATTCAAACTCTGACAAAGAATTATGTCTGTAGTATTTCAGGGTGGGGAATCTATGGACGGCTACATGGCAGAACTCATTATATACCAAAATTGTGTCTAAAGACGTGTTCCTTATTGACCTTTTACCTCCGAGCCACTTTTGCAAAATTAGTTTTCTTTGTGAAAAAACTTGTCTCAAATTGCCTCCACTGTGTTTGGAACCTTTGTTTCAATTTATCTGCACTTTTTGTGTGAATTCCAGTTCTTCAAGTTTCCATCAGTTCAAGATTTTGGGGTATTGTGGGTTTAGCCATGGAGCCATCATCTTTTCTGTTGCACTAATTTCTTTCTTTTCTAGACAAATAAAACTATTTATTTCAATATTTGAGAGTTTTTCTTACTTTTGTATTGTTATTGACCTATTTGGCACAGAAGTGTTCATGGGAACTGTCAAGAAAATAACGTGGTGATGAGGAGTCATTTTTTTTCTTTTTAACAGTTATGAACTGACAGGCCTTTGATTGGACAAAGCAAATGCCTGCCTGAAAGGCAAAGGGTCTTATGTTCTTGAAAGAAAAAACAGTATTGTAAGCAATATCAGCTATGTTATAGGATTCAAGAAATCAGAACTTGTGGTTGTCAAAAGGGACCAAGTGAGGGAATAAAGAAAAAGAAAATATATTTACATTATATATGTACTGATGTTTTCCTGGCCATATTTAGGGAAAGATCTTGTGGGTGTGTTTGTGTTTTAGTGCCTATAAAATGGCAGCTTGCACTACGGGGTGATTCCCGGAAAGCTGAAATCATTTCAGAATGTTATCGGGTCTGCTCGAGTAATGTATAGACTGTAAAGAACATAGAGTTGCTTTTATAAAGGGGGAAATTGCACTTTATGAATGCTGTCTGTTATTTTAAGTGTTGTAAAATCATGGTCAGGCCTGGAATTCTACAATTCCCTTTGTTAGTTCTGCCTTGCTTTTCGAAGCCATTTATTGTCAGTTGTGTCAATGTGGTTCCTTTTACACGAACGGAACCATGTACATGTAACTTTTCCTATTGCTTGATCTTGTTTTTTTCTCAAGCAAGCGGGTAATGTTCCTCTCATAGCACTTTAGTACAGATTCATTTAATTAAGAGAAGCAGACCTTGTTATTGGAAGTTGTGATCCATCCAAGCCTCATCGTTTCTTTCCTCAGTTCACCGTTTGACAGATTAGAAAGACTGTACTATGCCTCTGTCAATTTAGGAAAAAACCCACAGAATTAACCAGGAAAGCAAGGAGCTTAGAACTAACTTTTAATCTCCTTGCAGGAAAGTGAAAGTCGCCTAATAGTTTTCCGACTTTTCCATCTTTTTTTTCATGACGAAAAAGAAATTAGGCCTATACAAATATAACTGATCAAATTTCCTGTGGATTGTTGGAGACTCTTAGTCTCTCTAGTTTTTCTATCAGTTTTACTCTCTTCCCAGCTCTGAATGACCATTACTGTGTCAAATATGGTTTTTCTTTTACTTTTACTTGAACTAAACTAGGATTTCACTTCATTTGGTGTTACATAATTTAGTGCAGAGCCATCTTTGTTAGGCCAGAGAAAGCTTCCCGAGTTGTTGTTTTTTTTAGAAAGACGAACATCTGGACAGATGGAATGTAGAGGTCAAATATTAGGAACATATGTTTCACGACGCGGTGGAATCAGGCGCTTGTCAATTTTGGGGCATATGAAGTTATTGGTATCATCTTAAAGCTTGTCCGTTTGCCTTGCTTTTGGTGAAGATAATATCCATTTATCTTGAATACAAGTCAAGATATTGGCGATTGAAGGAGGTGGGGGTGGCCCACTTTCAGAGGTAAAATTAGTTTTAAAAATGGCCATCAAAGTTGACTTATTTCCTTAGTTTGAGAGTCCTAGGAAACTGAAAAAAAAAAAATTCTATAAAAATTCTCAAACCTGCGGAAAAATGCTACTTTCTTGACTTTCATTGTTTTGACAAGCGCCTGATTTCACCACGCTGCATCACATATTAGTATTCAGTGTTTTATTTTAGCTTTTTCATGATTCTTGAATATCCAGAAATATCCCACCTCTTTACTGCGTGTGTTGAGGGGGAAGAAAAAAACATCGAAGTAAAATATAGCAACTGCAAAAAGTAAAATGTATATTACAAACACCCCTCACTCTATAGAAACACATTAGACATGATGTAACAGACTGAAAATACAGGACACATCTGTTTATAGATTACAATAAGTTTAATTTTCAGTGGAAAACTCATGACATGAACAACGAAAGGTGAACAAGTAGAGTAACTATAAAAGACATTAACGTGCAAATAAATATACCATGTTTAGAAAATGTCATGGAATAAAGATGTAACCATAAAATGACCTAAAAAGTATGGAGAGTTCCTTGAGTTAATCAGCTTAAAGTAGTCAAAGAAAGAAACAATAATAAATTATTTTATCAGTAAAGGTACACAGTCTCTTGTCCAGCCATCTTGGGATCAGACTCTTGCCCCAGTTATGGACTGCAACAATAGAGAAATGTAATGTCGAAGACAAACCGGTCTACTGTCGTGAAAAAATGGTAACATCTGAACTCAAACTCAAATAGAGTAGGGGTAAACTGAATGATGGGAGTATTGCAGTTGTTATGTGAAGGTAGATACGTAGGCTTACTACTACTATTTTCATAGCAGAAAAAAGTTTGTTTCAGTATAGAGCTAACTATGGCAGCACAACTCAGATCCTTTTTTTTTTTTCTTCCGTAAATGATGCTTAGGCACTTTTGAAGGTGAAGGTAGATACATAGGCCTACTACTACTATTTTCATAGCAGAAAAAAGTTTGTTTCAGTATAGAGCTAACTATGGCAGCACAACTCAGATCCTTTTTTTTTTCCCCCCATAAATGATGCTTAGGCACTTTTGAAAGAGAAAAAAGAATTACACTAAAATATTGGGGGGGGGGGGGCAAATTAATTCTTTTTCGAGCTACAGGATTCAGAATGTTTGGCTTTGATAAGTGAACAATCTTTTTTTAGTTCAAGAAAAAGAGTTTTATGGCACTTGACTCTTCAACCTTAGCTAAATCTATACATATTATATTTGTGAAAGTTCGTCATTTTCACCGCCTAAAACTTCCGAACCACTTGACTTTCGAATGTGACAGAATTAATGATGGTTCAGAATCATTTAAAGGGTGTACAGTTTCATTGAGGAGCCTGAAGTCACTACAGTTTAATTTTAGTTTTTCATTAGTTTCGTTTAGATCTAATCTTGGGAAAGTCCGTCTTCTAAGATGCATTGTAAACAAGTGAGGTTTCCGTTTACTAGCCATGTGCACTGTTCCACACCTTTGAAATTCTGGAGTGTACAACCACAAAAAGGAATAGAGAGAGAATCAATCTATACATCTATTATATATTTAGCAACTTGGAAACACATGGCATGTGTCACTTTTCTCTCAACATTTATTGCTCCATTCCAGTACCAGTGACTTCAGTTGATGTTAAAGCACCGATCATTCCTTTCATCGAAAGTGGGCCCAGCTAGTTTATTATATTATCATATCATGACAAATGTAGGGACATACAATACATTGTACACTACTAGAATCTATACTAATACAAGAAAGGCATATCATATATAGTGATGCAGTTTACAAAAATGGTTTACCTTGAAATAATAAGCTCTGTTGTACTTGCCAGAATGTTAAACTTGACTGATTTCCATCTAGTTTACTGTGCTTACAACACCACAAAATGTATCTTCTACACGGCTACACAGCCCTGATTAGTTCTAAAAGCATACTTCAATTTAAGGTTTTTAACATTTGAAGGGGTTTACACAAGAGCTGAGGCAAGTCATTGAGGAATCAAAATATATGTTTTATAAACAATTGTGCATAACACACCAAGGCAGTGGTAGAAGTTTTATCAAGCGAACAATTTCTACATAAAGTTGAAACATCTTGAACCCACGTCCACAGACTTTGATAACCAATTCATGCATAGATAGAAAAAAGGTGAAAACAAGTAGATCTAGATTAGATGTACATGTGTGGGTGTATGGCAATGCAAAAACAGATCTGCATCGCAATTTTTTTGCTTTTCTGGTGAATTTCAGGGGAGACCCCAAGCAATCATTAAGACTATTAATACAGGTGAAAACCGGAACAGTTCCCTCATTCTATGTGATTAAAAGGAAAAACCTGATGATAGTTCCGACAAGTCAGTGCACAATACATTGTGTGTCAAGTTTTTAAAAATGAAAAACGTAATATAAGTAAATCTGGGTCACACTGACTCTTTTCAAGATTTAACTGAATAGAAAATGCTCTTATATATACAGTCGAACTTGCCATGACGGCTACCTGTATAAAACGGCCATCTGTAGAAATGGCCACTTTCCATTCCCCCCTTGTGTTTTTTCTACAATGTATATAATTTAACTGTGTAAAACGGTCACCTGTCCAACGCGGCCACCTTATTTTATCAACCTACGGTCAAATTTACCTGCCTCAGATGGCCAGGCATGATCACTCATCACCCGATGCTTTGCCATGAATTTTGAATCCGCCCCTCACACACTGGGGACCGGCCGTCATAATCCATTCACATGTCGTTATTGTTAGTCCCTCCAATGAATGTTTACCCAAGTTAACCAATGGGTAACAATACATTTTCAACTGCTGGTGAAGGAAGCTTATGATCTGTCACAACCTGTACGCTCCGCCCACAACTCAAGCACAAATCGTATGTGAGGTGACTGGTCACCGTTTTGTTTACCTAATCTGTAACAAAGTAACAATGGACGTTGACGTGCACTTTCGACAGAAGCGTCACTCGTTTTCTGAGTGGTGGCGACCCATGTGTTTGTTTTACCATGGGACTCGGTCTTTTTTTCACATAATATTTCGTTTATTTTACCCTTGCACAAATTCAGCAACAAAAAAAAGCTTACCGAAAGACAAAACAACAAAACAACAACAACAAAAAACCTTCTTACATCACCCACTCCCGTTTTTCAAAAGAAAACAAAAACCCTTTTGAACTAGCCTTACTCAAGTCCAAAGTTTTAGATCAGCTTCGGTTCGGACCTCGGAAGGGAATGGTTTGCTTTCTTCATTGTGATCCGTCCTGCCTAAGACGGCCACCTGTGTTATACTGCCACTTTTCTCCTCGACAATGGGTGGCCGTTTCACACAGGTTCGACTGTATAATATATAGGCCTATATATATATTACATATATATGTTTTTGTGTGTGTGCGTGTGTGTGAGTGTGCCTGTGTTTGCAATGTAGTATGAGTGTGTCTATGTGTCTTAGTGTGTGTCTGTGTGAGTCTGTGTGTGTGCTTCTGTGTGTCTGTGTGTGTGTGCAC